TGAAATGTAATTAATTAATTCAAGAGAAAACCTGATTTTTGTAATTGTAAACTTTGGGGCCTGATTTTTAATTTTGGAATAATAAACACCTGAACTGTAAATTTTTCCCTGTACTTTAATCCGTTCGCTTGGATCGTTTCAACATATCAGTCGTTCATTCATTAATTAGAGATATGTCAATTCTTGACAAGATTTGATTTCAAAGGCCCATATACGTGGATCAAGTGAAGGTGTAGCCCAAAATATCTACATGGGTATTACAACCAATAGATCCGAGAAGACATTTTGGGCTGCACCTTTCCTGGATCCAAATATGGGCCGTTGAATTCAAATCTTGACCCATTCCCCACCTTAACCAATTTTGGTGCAAGGCCACCTCATGCTCAGGTTTATTGTAAAATGCACCATAACATGTATTTTGAAGGTACAAGAATCCTCCATTGCCAATAATATAATTGTTTCTTTGAGTAAGAAGTTTGTAACACTGTCAAACATTGTAAGAAAACGGGAGAAATGGAAAAAAATCCGATCCTCGAGGAATTACGCAATCAGACAGTATGAAGCCTTGCTTTGTGAAACAAAAAATATATTTATCCCTTGTTTGCTTCAACGTAGTCTCCATGGTCGTCTTCTTCACTGTTGCAAGTTTCCCTGCAAAAATATATGTAGTACACATACTGCAATATGATCTATTATTTACATTGTTAAGGTAAAATCCTGTTTTGTTTTTCTTTGCTTATTTATACTTCGAGAAGGGATATTGTCGTTCTATCTTATACCAAATGTCAAAGTACTAAAGAAAAGGATACGAACAAGTCGAGCACCACACAGCCAAAAGCATCCAGCAACCAGGGCATGTTGGCTGAAATTTTTTCCCGAGCAATTGATCTTACAAGAATGCTGCATCATGTTGACAAATCTTAGATTATGTTTGGCATGTAGCAATCACAGTATAATGGATACGATCTTAAGTTTCCTTTCTTCCTAATATTCAATCCACCTTACCAAAAGGGCGTTAAGAGATAGAGAGATTATATATACCTAGCCACATAGGTAGCATTGGCAAGAAGTGCAAAGATAAACATCAGAGGATTCAATCCCTATATAATTGGAAAAAAAAGAGACTTTAATTGTGCATTAATCCGCAAAATGTAAGCGTTCAATTTATTTCTGAGGCAAATTTCCAAAGCACAAGATTAAATCAGAATTACCTGAACACTCCCTCTTTTAATCTAGTCAGTGAAGCAAAATCATCCATTAGAGGCAGTTTATGGGCGAAATAGAGAAGAAGTTAAACAAAAAGGAAACAAATTTGTATCCATGTAGTTCTTAAACAAAGTTACTCACATTTAACCATATTTGAGGTAGTCGACCACACATGTATATGGCAGCCATCATCCATCCCAACCACTGGCCATACACGTTTTCTGTCCCGGGTTCCTGTCACAACACAAAAGTCTTAACCATAATCCTGATGAAATGAAAGAGTTCAATTTGACCATTCATTTTTTGTTTAATTCCATACTTGTAATAATTTCCTCCCGGCCAATCCCACGTATACTTGAGTCAAAGCCTGAGTTCCTCGAGGCATGTTGACGGATGTAGCTAAAAATGCACTGTAGCCTACCTGAAAACACATTGTGCCAATAGTGATTAGGTCATATTTTCAATTAAAGAGCTTAAAGATTCTCATAATTCAATCAGAATTACTGGTGGTTGACATTTTGATTCATGAACCGTTAACAGCTGTTCTAAAGATGTACATTATGACTTCAAATGTAAGTCAAGCCACTGTAAAAGTGCAGATCTTATCGAAACCAACAAGTTGCAAGAAAGATCCAACATGATGTGATTTTAATTCCACAATTTTTAGAATAAATAAGCCACACTAAACACTCACAGATCGCGGGATTGGCTTAGATTGGCTAACATATTTCTTGAATGGACTTCGATTTCCCTCATCATCTGAAGACAAGTCATTTTCGATTCCCTCAGAAGGAGGACCACTTCTAAGTGGCCCAAGATGAGACCGAATAGGTGGCGGTGTGCTGCCTGCCAATGATCTTGCTGATCTGCAAAGAAGTTTGTTTCTTGAAAAGGATCAAATGAGTCTAAATGCCAGCGTAATAATGGAAACATTAAACAAATTTGTACAACTTTATTCACATACGCGTAGTAATAGAAATCTTTCTGTGGTGTTACTTCGGCCGTGCCGCTAGGTATTGGGATAGTAGTAGCACCTGGCTTTGGTGGTTTCAGAGGTTTTTTCGCTTCTTCAACCTGAGACAATAAATTGTAATTTACTTATTTTATATATACACAGGACTGCTTAGCCTACAAAATGTGTTTTACAATAAAATTTAGTAATACATACCTCTTGGGTTGGTTCTTTTTCTTTGTTTCTCCAACATTTATAGAAGTAGTCATAATATAAACACTGCAACACTAGTATCACTGTACTTGTTGTGTAAAGCTGATGATGGATGGAAGAGAGAGAAAGAAAAGAACGGATGAAAAATTAATTAGTTTAAATTAAGATAGTATTTACTGTTAAAATTCATTAATGATTCAAATGATTATTTCCAATTTCTGGTTACAGTGTTGAGGATGAGTAATCTTACTAGTGCAGTGTAGTATTGGGTTGGCAACTGCATCCATGAACCACCACCCCCAAACATACAAAGAAAATGAGAGAAAGAAAGAGATGAGAGAAACCATATAAAAATGTAGTTCTCAAAACTTAATTTTTAATTGATTTAATGCTAATGAAGAAAAAAAAAAAATGTTTTTATCAGTAAATGTTCAGGCCAACGAAAAAGTTCTTACGGTAGCAGGTTCGAGAAGGCAACCCACTAAGTTGAATGTATCTCTGCAACAAGAAAATACTATTGAAATTCAATGAAAGAAAATGAAGTAAAAAATCAAATACAGATCTTAAATGGAAATATTCAAAATATACATGCATGTAAGATACTAGGTTACATGGAACAATATTTATGAGGATACTGAAATGTTGATCTGAAGTTTGGAAAAGAAAATACGAACCCGGCAATCCAAGTGAGAAGAAACAAAAGAGAAACGCCATGGCTGGACTTTGATCGAAAGTTGGTGATAATTTGGGGGATTTCTGCAACTCCCCAACAAACGAGGCTAATAATACCAAAACCAAAGGATAATTCATCTTTAAGGTTGCATAGACAGTCCTTGAAATACTTGTCCACCCAACCAATGCATGGCTTTTTCTCTTTTACACAATAAGACAATGAAATCTGCAACAAGGGCTTCATCTTTGTATGTGTTTTTGCTTGAAAAGTGAAACCTCAAAGCCAGTTTTATAGGTGGAAAAGGATTTGAACGTCCAGAACTTGAATTTATTTTTTCATTTATTTTACCATATTAAGGGATTGTATATTTTGGGAAAGAAATATGCGAATTAATATAAATTCCCATTTTGTTTCCTTGACTCAAGCTTCACTTAGAAAGAAAGTAAATCACGTTTTCATGCTTTAGTTAAAAATAAATTTGTTAATCTAAGCCAATTGGTGCATAAATTAGAGAATTCAGATCTAAATGCAACATTGTGTCGTTGAATCTAAATGCAAGATTGAGTGTGAGGATTCATATAGCAAACCCGACATTCATAGAGTTTTTTCCTTTTCTTAATTCTCGTAAAGTGAGATATTTTTACGAGAATGTATAGCACATTTATATAACAACGTGCATAAGAAAATGTCTTAGCAGAAATTCTAACGGAACAAAAAAAAAAAATTAAAAAAAAATTGAGTTAATGACTCGACACCCTCCAGCAGCCGATTTGCACAAGATGTACTTATCCCGTGATCCTCTTTCAAGGCAAAAGACAAAATTTATGCCAGAAAAGATATGTTCAAACGCGTCGACCGCTCGCTGCAAGCACATAGTGGAAGGTGGGGACGAGTGTCTACTCCCCCACAAAATGCACACTTGGGTTTCATGTCTATCTCTATGACGAATATACATTCCTCCAATTTCGTCATCTTTATTCTTTAGTAATTATTACAGAACATAGGATAGTATTAATTTCATGAACCTGGTAAATTTTGTAGATATGGATTGTCCATATGGTCAATGATACTTTGCAGTCCAGACCTATAAGTAGGATGAAACAGCTTCACTCCCAGTTCTTTCTTCATCCGTGCATTGGAGACTCGTTTATCTCCCCTGGAAACTTTGTCCAGGACAAGTGATTCTTCTCTTTCAGGAGACATAGTAGGTTGCTTCACATGGCCTGGAAATTTTTGCTCGACCAAATTCTGAGCCCACATAAATACTTCCATTCTTGGAGCAGGATCATCGTCCACAATGTTGAATACTTCCCTGGAGTGAAATACAAAGACAAGAAAATATAATCATCACATTATTGTACATGCGGCTACATAAGGCAGTCACGCGGAAATATAAATACATATCGCAATAGAAACGCATATGCATGATATTGTTGCTGGGTTACATATTTGTTTTCATCTTTTCCCACCATCTCTATTAGTGTACCCAACAGAATAAAAGGTTTCTTTAACCTACCATGGGGATCGCTTCAGAATACTTGCATTGAGTGCTTGGCAAATGTCAGCAACGTGAACGCGAGAGGTGTACTGTTTACATAATCTCATTTTCTGACCCTTCGAGTGAGGCTCTTGTTTAATAATGGTATCAATAGCACTGTCAAGCATGTATAGATATAGAAAGTCAATTTTAAACAAAGTTTGAACCTCACAATTGCTCATCAAACTCTCTTTCAACTGAATCCTACCAACAAATCTACTAAAACAGATTTTAAAGCAATATTTGAATGCTCAAACCAACCTTCTACCAGGTCCATATATTCCTCCAAGTCGAAATATTTGAGCAGCAATCCCAAGATCACGGCCCAAACATAACCATTCTTCCTCAGCAGCTAACCTTGCTCTGGCTGGTTCACTTGTAGGTCTTATTGGATAACTGCCAAATGATCGAGCACAATTCATTAAGATGCACGCTTCATAGGCATTGACTGCATAAATAACAATGAATACTTACTCTTCATCTACCCAAGCACCACCACAATCTCCATAGACACCTATAAGTCCAAAAATAAAAATTAACAAAGAATATGAAAAGGATAATAAATTATTGTCACATTTTCAAGTCAGCAAGGGCAAGCATACTTCTGCAAATGTAACAACAAAAAGCGAAAACAAGTGAGGAGTATTGAAAAAGAAAATACAGCCAATATGTCTGATTATTTGAAATGCACAATAAAAGACACTGACGTGTTTTTCCTCTCTGAAAGTTATGCTAAAGTAAGAGATATTTGACATCTATTTTCTATCTAAAATACTATGTGAAAGTTAGTTGTATTCAAGTATTATAACAATGTCTTACATTGCCATGCATTCTATGCAACTACAAGCAATTCGAAGACAGACTTACTAGTTGATGATAAGTAAGTTAGCCACTGAATTTTCCCATCCTTCAATCTTCTTCTCACAAATTCTTTATGACAAAGCATCTGAAAAATGTACATACCAATTAGCAGAAGGGATAGCAAAAGAAATATATTTAAATAAATATAGATGGTTCTTGGCAGAGTTTCTCAAAGATAATTAAAATTACCGGATCACCAAGACCCTTGACGGGAGGGATGGAAACGAGGAGGTGAGTGTGATTTTTCATGATATCTAGGATCTCAGGTCTGGAAAATATATAGAGCACAAAAGTTTGTGATTCCAGCAATACTGTTAAGTGTTCAGTTCAAATAATTGATGTAATCACAAAAATCATCTGTAACATCGAAAAAACTCAAATCGTGTTTAACTAATTGCAAGTTTAAATTGTATTATTGACAATTTCTAGCCAAGAACAACCCATATAAATGCTTAGCAAGAAGTATATAGAAATTCTGAAACCGACCAAAAACAGAAAAGAAAAATTCACCAAATTTTCATAAAATATAGAAAAGAAAAAACTCACTGAGGGTCGTTCGCATCAAAGGCGTAGGCATGAAACCCCATTTCTTCGAGTTTAGTTTTCTTCTCAACGGTTGTGCAGCTCCCACTTACTACCCTTCACAGTAAACAACTTAAAATGCTGAATTCAAATATTCTGGCGACTACAAATTCGAAAGTTTAGATAATAAATCACAACGCCAGAAGTGTAAAGAGAAGTCTGACCATCCTTTGCTCTTTAAATCAGCAGCAAAGAATTGCCCTACAAAACCCATTCCCAAAATGAACATTTGACCATTCGCACATTCCACTGATTCTGTGTTTTGGGGCATATTGCATCTCACTAGAAGAGGGCGAAACGGTGATATAAGCCCGTACCGTAGATTAATCGCCGGCAATTGCCTCGGTAAGTGGCACATCTCCATTTGGGATCCAACCGTTGACATGAATTTTGAATTTGATAGAATAAACCCCTAAGAAATACTTTTCATGTCATTAACCCCCCTTTATTGTATCAAATCAACAGTAAGGGCAAGATTTTGCATTTTACCTACAAGTAATTCACGAAAAGGCACTTGACCGTGTTGAACCCGAAGACTCCAAACCAGATCGATCAATAAATAGTTTTGAAACCATTTATTTAGGTATGTTTGATTTTGTTAAAGATTAGATTTTTAATAAATTTGTATAAAGATTTACATATACATAACGTGATGAAATATGGTTGGATCGAAATTTTTTCAACTAAATAATAAAAAAAATTTCTACATTCTTCGCGTATAAAATATTATGTAATTTCATTATATACAAGTAACATTATTCAAGTGACAAAAGGGGGTAGAATATAGAATTATTTATTTATTTATTTATTTTGTGGAGAAATTAGTTGCTTGATTTTAGCGGAGGAAAGAAGTTCTTTGAGGGTGAATGAAGCATTTGTTGCTGCAACAGCCATTGCTGCAATTTCTTCCGTGTTTGCGGAGTGTAGATGAGAAAAAAATTGTATTGATTTTCCAGATGAATTTTGGATTTTTTGGGTGGTGAGGGGTTTAACGTTTCACGTTTAAGGAATTTTGTCAAGGATGAAATATGTGAGAAGATAAAAAATGGCCTTACTTATTATAAATTTTTTTATATTTCACTATAAAATAAAAGAGGTAGAACATTTGCGCGCCACGTGTCACGATTTCCTATCGTCGTCAAAATTCAATAGAAAAAATTTCGCCGTTTCCCCCACACGCTTTGCTTTCTCCATTTCTCCTACAAATCTGACACGCTATTGTTCTTTCTCCATTTTTCCACTCAACCAACCATACCTCTTTACTCATCCATTCCCCACATTGACCCATACGTAGTTCTCATATGAGATTGAGAAAGAGATTGCTCAAAATAATGATTGAAACTTCTACCTCAGAAGAAAGTCGAAAAAACTAATAAGGTGACATTTTCTGAAATCACACACTCCAGATTATACTATATCTGAATGTTATTGTTCGTTTTATTTATTTCCGTATGATGGGTTTCATTGACTTGCAGCATGTGTCCAAATAATGTTTTATGCCTATTACTGTGGAGGTTCTCCGACTCCAACGAACCCGAAAATCTAATTCCAATAGGTATCTTTTGTTTTATTACTTCATCTTTAATTGGATTTGATTTCTATGTATCAATTCAATTGTTGTGCATCTCGTTGCTGCTCGATTTACGCAGGAGAAAGGTTTTGGCAAGTCATAAGAATTCTAATATTGATATCACTGGAGAAAAATTGCAATGTTTAAAATCAGGTACATGGTTGAGAAAAATTGCAATGTTTAAAATCAGGTACATGGTTGAATGATGATGTAATTTTGTCTTCTTTTTTTTGTGTGTGATTGTTGGGAAAATTGGAAAGGATTTTAGTTAGCAGCCAAAGCTAAAGCAGGATGGTTGTGATGACTTTTGTCTGCCCTAGTTTCACTTTATTTGCTTTGTAGGTCATTAACTTGTATCTAGAGTTATTGAAAGAAAGGGAAAAAAGAGACCTACGGAAGTTCTTGAAATGTCATTTTTTTACACATTCTTCTATAAGAAGGGCTGTTCGTTTCTCTCAAGCCTTTTCTATTTAACGTTAATAATAATATTTTACAGAAATGTTTTATATGCATGTTGTTTACATTGAGTAATGTATTAGCTTGTTTGGCATTTTAATTTGAGTATTTGATGTTAGAATCCATCATAATGTTTCATTCTGTTAAGAACAATATTTATCCATTTCTCAAATTTGAGAGTACATTAGAACTTTTTCCTATTTCACATGACTTCTCAACAACAACAATAACAACAACAATCAAAAAAATAAAAATAAAAAACGGAGACACGACCCATGTCTCTGTGCATCACGGAGACATGAAACCTATCTTTGTATGCGTACGGAGACGGAGACCCATGTCTCCGTGCACCACGGAGTGTCTTCGTGCGCCAGGGAGACATGAGATCTGTGTCTCTGTGGCGCACAGAGATACTATGTTTCCGTGACACATGGAGATTTTTTTTTTCTCTCGATGGCTTTGGATACAAGTCTTCCTTTTTTTCTTTCTCAAATAACTTTTCCTTTTGAGGGCGTTGCCCTTGAGCCCCCATGAGGGGCGTTGCCCCCTCGACCCCCACGACTTAACAAGGCAGGTCGACCCCTGTCGGGGGCGTTGCCCCTCAACCCTCGCCATCTGATGGATATTTTTCATGTTTACGAATGAATTTCTCTTAAAATTTACATATATTTATTTTCAACATTAAACAATTAACGTGCAACGCACGTTAACCACACTAGTTTAAAAAAAAGCATGTTTGGGTAAGCTTGAATAGTTTATTAGATTAATATTAATATTATTTTCTAAGATCAATTTATTTCGATTGAATGAGTGTTATCTTAGGATTTTACACTAGTAGAGATCAATGAACAAATTATTGATAGTTTAATTGTTAATAGTAAGGACAATATTAATAATGATATAAATATAGTATGAAAATGAGTAGGCGACATTTGTAATAGCTAGTGAAAGTTGAACTTGCGTTGCACGTTATTTTGAAATACTTTATAAGTGTTATGAAAATAATATTTGACCAATCAGTTATCTTTTTGAAATATGAGAGAAAAGCAAGTCTCTGAAAATAAATGTTAATTATCATATATGCCCGTAAATAGTGAAACGCATAATTGAATGTGAGTACTAGAATTATAACTAAATGAATAAATGAAGATAAATAACAAATACGAAACATGAATTAACGTGAATGTTAATTAATTTACAATCAATACCAAAAAATACATACATGACAATGAATATTAAATCATTGAACTTTGTTATACAAACAAGCTCAAAGACAGGTATTTAAATAAATGCACAATCGACACATTTTCATTGGCAGCTAAAAATAATAATAAACGAAAAAAATTGCCAACCAAGGGCTGCCATTTTAGGCCCTGGAAACAGTGCCTGTCACTGAGGCCGACCCCCGAAAATAATGTATGTCGCATATGCTGTTCAAACAGCTTTTTCCTAAATCAATTATACTAAATGAATATAATTGAATTTTCAATTAAATGAAACTGGATGCTGATTAACGTACATGGATGTCAATAATGAACTGTATTCTTGAATGTGAAATTTTAATTAATCATTAATTAAATGAATGTGAATATGAGATTCTAATTAATATTTATTAAATAAATGTGAATGTTAATTAATAAGAAGGAATGCATGAACAAGGATTTTGTAGTATTTATTATAGTTTGTAAATTAAATACATATTAAAAAATAAAAAGTAAGGTATTATTGAAATAATTGAATTTAAGAAGGGTTAAAATTGTCAAAAAATGATTCACTTGATGTGACATTTAATTCAAATTAAGTAAAATGGGATGTTATGCATGGACGTGAATAATGAAATGTATTCTTTTATGTGAAATTCTAATTTAATTAGAAATAGTAAAATTGAAATACATAAATGAAGATGATTATTAATTAAATGAATGTGAATGTTAATTAATTGAGAATTAATAATATGGAATTCATACATTAATGAAAGCACACATGTGAAATGAATATGTCCAATGTACATGTATATTGATGATAACTAAATGGCTAAATAAATTAAATACATATTGCTAAGAATAATTAGTGAGTTCTTGATTCACTTATAACTGACTT